CCCCCCCCACATCATCTCCCTTCCCACTTGCTTATTCTTTTCACAACCTTGCGGCCACGTCACCCTGTCAGACGTGCCAAACCAGAGCTTTCTGCTAATGGGAACTAAGACGGGAACAAACGCTGTGTTCAGAGAGTCGGTTTCACGTTTCAGCTTTCAGCTTCATTGTGATATGTGTGTGGCGCAGTGAAATGCCAACTGACACGCCCCCTACGGGCCATCCATTAGCAGCGCAGAGTCTGAGTCAGGCAGCAGTGCAGATCATAAGCAACACAAAACAGTAACATGACGTGACAAAGTAGCGCATCACAGGCAGAGGAGTCAGCGAGGGTTGCGGAGAAACAGATTGTGTTATTCATGTGATGGTTGAGAATATCAGTCAGTCTCTGAGCAGCATCAGAGGTGAAAAGCATTATGGGAAAGGAGATGGAGATTCACAGGCAATGTGGGATTTGGGGGGGGGGGGTCCCTGGGGTGTCTGTCCACTGTGGCCCAGGCAGCCAGTCTTTGCATGGGTTCCAGCTGGACCTGGTCATGCTCTGGAATTCTGGGTCACAATGAATGCTGGTGATGACACAGATCTGGGGTCAGTTACCAGGGAGCAGGACATGGGACTGGCAGGCATATAAGGCAGCTTAAGGTCGCCCCCTGCAGGGCTGCTCAGGGAACGTGCAGTCAAGTGGCCTGCAGGCTGGTGAGCTCAAACCCAAATTACAGCTATAAGCTTACAGTCTTGCCCAGCCCAGCCTGTCACATGACCCTCCGGAGCAAGCTGGTGCTCTCCGGTCCAATGCGGATTAGTAACTCGTATCAATCATTACCAGGTTGTTAAAAGTGACAGCATATCACCAGTGACGTGTGTTGGGGGAGGGGTATTCCATGTCATGGCCGCCTGGGGTATTGCTGTGGTAAGAGAGGGCTGGGTTCACTGGGTTAGCTCTGTAATGCTTTGATTCTGATGTCGTTGTATTGAATTGGGGCAGCTATCCCCCCCCCCCACTGGGCTGATCCCAGCACGGCTAACTGGGAGCCACTAACCCCCACACCACAGCTGTGCACGCTGACACCCCTCCTGGGCCTCGACTTGCAGTTATGTGTTAA